TGCATATACACACATAAACAATTTTAGAAAGCATTACTTCATACCTAAACTTCTTTGTTTTTTTAATTTCTTTTTTTTCATACCTAAACTTCTAATTCCAATGTATCTCTCCAAGGTTCTTTGGGGCCTTCTCCAGTTTAATATTTGTTTTTTCCTCAGTGAAAACCCTGGCTTCCAATGACATTAACACATTCCTTATTTGCTCAATTCTGTAATAAAAGAAATACTTTCAGAATTGCTTTGTATCATTTAATAAGAGAACCCAAAAAGATTTCAAAGTTTGACTCCTGCACCTCACTCCCAGAATTGATAATATAGTCAGATACTATGTTAAGTTATTCGGAGTGGTCCTTTTCATTTTCCTCCTCTCGCCTGCCTGCCTTCCTTCCTTCCTTCCTTCCTTCCTTCCTTCCGTCCTTCCGTCCTTCCTTCTTTCCTTCCTCATTTGAAATTCACTAGATTAATTTCTTTTAATTTCTGTTTTTAGGATTTTTTCCCTCTTTCTCATTTTTATTGTTTTAATACATATATTTTGGAATATGTTGAACATTGATATTCTTTCAAAAGACAAAAGTACTTGAAAATATACTCAGAGAAGTTCCCATTTCCTCCTTTCTCCTCCAGTAGGTAACTGACTTCATTGTTTTCTTATTTATCCTTCCTGTGATTCATATATATATATATATATATATATATATATATATATATGTTTTATATACATGCATATGTTTCTTATGCATACATATGTGTATATATACACACATACACATTATTCTTTTCCTTCTTACACAAAAGGTAACATATAGAAATGTATTTGTATTAGGTCATAAAGATCTTCATTATATTTTTGTTTGGTTTTATTTACAGATGTTTGGTACTCCATTGTGTTTATATACTGTGGTTTATTTAACAAATTTTGTGTGCATGGGCATTTAGGTAATTTACAATATTTTATAATTATAGATATGTACACATATTTTCATATTGCTGGCAGTTTACTTCTAAGTTCCTGTGAGTATATTGAGTTGAAGAATAAATGCTTAGATAAATTCATTAGATAATGCTAAATTCTCCTGCACAGGGATTTTCTCATTTTGTATTCCCACCAGCTCATAATTGTACAGGAGCACTGTTTGCCCACAGTCTTATAAGCAGAGCAAGTTGGTATGCTTTTGAAATTTTGACCATCTGATGGGGGAGAAATGGCATCTTGGTATAGTTTTAGTTCATACTTCCCTGTTTTAAGTGAAGTTGATATTTTTTGTGAATTGTCTTTTGCCAGTTTTTCTATTGATTTGTCAGTCCCTCCCTTATTTTTAAAGAGTTCTTTATAAATTAAGGATTTTGCCCTTGTATGTTACATAGGTTGTCAGTTTTTTCACAATTTGTCATATATTTTGATTTTGCAAATGCATTTCTTTTTACCATGCCTTTTAGTATACCTGTGTTATTATGCAGTCTTCTAAAATTTTATTTGTATGCTCAGGAGTCTAACCTATTTAGATTTTTTGTATGCATTTAGTATGAAGACTGGATCTGATTTTATATTTTTCCAGATGTCTATCCAATTGTCTGAATATAATTTATGAAAAAACTTTACTCCAATCCTTTAAAATACCACTTTTATTATATGCCAGATTTTTAGTATCTGATAGTAGGGCCTGTTTGTGGAATTTCTATTCTGTACCTTTGGTCTTTCTATCAGTGCATGGAAACTACACTATTTTAATTATAGGCCTTGAATATATTTTAAATCTTTTAAGACTAGTTTCCTTCAAACTTCCTTTTCAATTTTTCTTTTTTAAATTAAGTTTTTAATTTTAATTCCAATGTAGTTAACATAGAGTGTTATATTAGTTGTAGTTGTAGAATATAGTGATTCAACAATTATATACATTATTACTTAGTGCTAATCATATAAGTGTACTCTTGAATTACCATCACCTATTTCACCCATCCCCCTATGTACCATCCTTGTGGTAACCATCCATTTGTTCTCTATAGTTAAAAGTCTATTTTTTGGTTTCACTCTCTATTTTTTCCTTTGCATATTTGTTTTGTTTCTTAAATTCCACATCAGATGGTATTTGTCTTTTTCTGACTGAGTTATTTCACTTAGCATTATGTTCTCTAGGTCCATCCATGTTGTTGAAAATGGTAAGATGTCATTCTTTGTGGCTGAATAATATTCCACTGTATATACAAACATGTCTTCCTTATGCATTCATTTATCAATGGACACTTGGGCTATTATATCTTTACTTCTGCATGTGAACATTAAGGTCAACTTTTCAAGCTCCTTTAAAGCTTACTGGAATTTTTATTTGGGAAAATTGAACATTACCTTTCAAATTAACTGCTAACCCTGATGATGTTGAGATAGCCCAGTGAGAAATATGGGATGTGTTTGTATATTTATGCATACTTTTGTTTTGCAGGCTGAGTTTTATGCCTAAAGTTTCATTGTGTTTCCTTTGAAACTATTTATTTCCTTAGTTATTTGTAGGCACTAGTGATTTTTTAAAATTATAGCTGAACTGAAATTAAATGACTAAAAATTGATGTTTAAACTCCACTCATACATTTTGAAAATACTTTTAATACGTTCAAAATTGTCTCATACTTATTAATATACAAAGATCTTTAGGCAATATATGATTCTAATTTGCTTTATTGAGTTTGAAAATTTTTTTTTTTGAGTTTGAAAATTTAAGAGAGGATATAATTCTTATATTGAACACCTTGAAGAACTCTATAAGCCTCTCAGCTTAATGATTCCTTTTTTTTAAGATTTTATTTATTTATTTATTTATTTATTTATTTATTTATTTATTTGAGAGAGAGAGAGAGAGAGAGAGAGAGAGAGAGAGAGAGAGAGAACGAGAACACAAGCATTTGTGCCCACGAGCAGGAGGAGGGGCAGCAGGGGAGGGTGAGGGAAAGGGAGAGAGAATCTGAAGCAGACTCTTCACTGTTTCTGGAGCCTGTCATTGGCTTGATCTCACTACCTTGAGAACACAACTGGAGCTGAAACTAAGAGTTAGCCATTTAACCAACTTGAACCACCTGGGCACCCCTCAGCTTAATTCTTAATGAGATGGTATTAATTCCTTATTTCTGATAATGAGCTTGAATAGTGAAACCTAGCAAAAATTACTAAACAAGAGCATATAATTTAATCTTCCTGAGATAATTTGCTGTTTGGAGAAAATAAAATTTTAGCCATGTCTTTACAATAATTATATTATGTTGAAGGTAACATATCACAAGTAAATTCTATTTTAATATAATATTAAATTTTTTGAATAAATTTAATATTATCAAAGAAAATAAAAATTGTCTAACTTCCATGTGGGAAAATAAGTCTATATCCAGAAGTTTTAAAGTCAACATATAAATAAATTAAAAAATATTTGAAATCCTTAACATTTGTCAAAGTTAGTTATTTTAGATTGCTATGGTACTTTGAAAGCCATCTACTTAGACAAATAAGATTCACGGGGAATATCATGCATAACAATGCAGATACTATTATTTTGAATATTTTCCTATTTCTATTCTAAAAGTAGTATTGAGATATCCATTTGCCACAAGTCATATTTATTTTTGTGATGGAAAAAAAGAATTGTAATAAGTTTGTAAATCAGCCCTTCATTGTATGTATATATTTGGTACAAAATGATGGGATTTATGGAGATGAGCCTAAAGGGAGGAACAAAATATAGAAATAGCAGAGAATCTGAAGTGCTTAACCTAGCAATAATGAATATGATCATTTTCTATAGCTAGAAAACTATATATCACAAGTTTTGAAAGTTGCATTTGGGGAAATCATAGGAAACCTAATATCTAAGGTTTTATTGTTTTATAGAGACTAAATAGTGGTATAAAGGACTATCATATTTGTAGTTTGATTTTGCAGTTAGTGTAGAAAAAGATTTACTCTTTAATTCAGTTTTTTTGTGTAAGTGAAAAAACTAGCAACACATGGCTGAAAAATGAATTCAGAATGTGACCTGATTATTTAACTTATTATCCTCAACTGTTTGGCCTTTCAATAATTAAATATATATATTAAAATTATTCCTCTTTTCTGAATAACTATTAAACTAAAGACATTTTGGAAGGCCTTTCTTATCTTTTAAACTTTTACACATACTTTAAATATTTAGTCACTTTATTCAGTTAGCCTAGTGTATTCCATTTTTTTATAATTTATTTTGGAGGGTGTTCCAAGAAAAACCATTATGTAAAATCAAGCTGTATCTCTGTTAGGCACTGTCATTTTAATTGAATTCTGGAAACATAAAAATCTGAACTTAAGACATTTTAAAAACATTTATGATCTTCTCCCACTGCTGTAATTAACCATAATTTTGAAGAATTTAATTTAACTTAGAATTCATGATTTGAAATGCTCTTATGTTCTTCCATTTTTTATAATCTGCTTATATAAGTTCATAAATTTTTTATAATCAGTTTACATAATTCTCCTGAATTTAAGGTTTGACAATTCAGAGAGAAACTTTTCTTTGTGACACAATTGGGAAATCTTTTTTAAAGTGTAGATTCATTATGTAGAAACTGGGCTTAAATACATTAATTTCAAAGAATATCAGAAGAAAATGATGTAGATGTTGAATTTCCAAAATTTTCTTCCTTTACCTAAAAGTGTGTCTATCAAGACTCTCAATTTCTTCTTATATTATTAAGGAACAATGTAAACCACAATTTCCTAGTCTTATCCCATCTGCTTTCTGACATTGCCTTTTATCATTTTGTGTTTGTGGTTATTTGTCTTTACTGTTTCTTTTCTCTATTCATGCCCAAATATTGGCCTTCTACATTAATTATTTTGAAGATTTGTTTTTAAAACTTTGATTAATGGTATAGGTTTTAAAATGTTTTAATGTAGAGTTTAATTACTTTATTGCTTGAAGAAAAATATGGAGGTTTTGAATTTTGTTGTTCAGTAGTAAATGAGTTTTTTATTTCCACAGATGCGATTCTGAAAATCGCTATGTTGGTAATCCACTTAGAGGAACATGTTATTGTAAGTATTTTTACTTTTTTCATTTTAAATAATTAGTGTGTATTTTTAGTTTTGGGTGATTTTGCAGATAATAAAATTCATCTTGCATGCTGATGTTGTCATTAATATGTTACAATATCTATTTCTTTTTTTTATTTCTTAAATCTTACAACACAACTCTATATATGTTGCTAAGAAAGGCAGTCTTTTTGCTGTATTTTCTTAATTATACTTGGTGCATTTTTTTCTACTCTTGAAGAGTGACATACCAATAGATCTTATTCTTAACATGAAAACAAATATAGGACTTTAGTAACTTCAGCTTGATTTAATGTAATCTTTTCATTTTGATTAAATTTTGAATAAATAGAATTTTTTGATAGATTTTTACAGGAGGCAATTTTGGTCATCATTAAAAAGCTGTGTTCATTTTTTTACTGAAAGATACTTTCACTGGGAACTGATCACATTGTAGATGTATGTTTAATTGTTTAAGAAACAAGTTTTCAAATGGTCCTTTTTACATTCCCACCAGGTCTGTATGAGTTTCAGTTTTTCAAATCTCTTAATGATTCATATGGTTAGTCTTTTTAATTTTTGCTGTTCTAATAGGTGTGTAATGGTATCTAATTCTAATTTTATTTACATTTCTCTAATAATGATAAATATTTGTTCAAGTGATTATTTGCTATATATATATTTTTATTTGGTGAAGTATGTTTAAATATGTTGTCCACTTATCATTATTACTTTATTATTGAGTTTTCAGAGCACTTTATGTATTCCAGACACAAATGTTTTTGCAAAATTTTTGCAAATTTTTTTTTTTTTTAGTTTATGGCTTGTGTTTTCATTTGCCTACTTTGTTTTAATTTGCCTACTTTGTCCTCTATTTGGAGTATTTTTTTTTTGAGGAGGAGTTTTTAATTAAGATGAAGTTCAATTTATCAATTTGTTCTTTTGAGAAATCTTAGCCTAACCTAAAATCACAAAATTTTCCCATTTTCTTCCAGAAGTTGTGTATTTTTATGTTTTCTATTTATGAATACAGTCCCTTTTGAGTTAATATTTATATATATTTCAAGAAATGGATCAATTTTTTTTCTTCATATGGATGGCCAAATGTTTTAGCACAGTTTGTTTAAAGACTTTCTTTTAACCAATGAATTGCTTTCGTATCTTTGTTGAAAATCAGTTGCCAATATATGATTATAAGACTATAAAGGTTGGGGCACCTGGGTGGCTCAGTCAGTTAAATTCTTGACTCTTGGTTTAGACTCAGGTCATAATCTCATGGTCATGTGAGTGAGCTCCATTTCAGGCTCCATGCTCAGCCTGGAGTCTGCATGTCCCTCTCCCTCCCTCCTGTCCCACACTTGTGCTCACTCCCGCTCTGTCTCTCAAATAAATAAATAAAATAAATCTTAAAAAAAAAAGAATTTAAAGGCTATTTCTGGAATTTCTACTGTGTTCTATTAATTAATTTGCCTACTTTTATGCCAAAATAGCACCATTATAACTACTGTAGTTTAATATGTCTTGAAATCATATCATTTATTTTCCAACTTCATTTCTTCTTTATCAAACTTGTTTTGTCTTTGAGTTCCATTTCTTTTGTGTTTACATATGAATTTTAGAAACTGTGTCAGTTTTTTCCAAAACACATGCTAGAATTTGGAAATGAGATAGTGTTTAATTTATAGAACAATATGGGGGGAATTGATATTTTAACCAGTCTTCTGACCCATCAACATCTTTCTCTTTTTAAAATTTAATTATTTTAAAATTTATTTTTAGCAATATTTGGTATTTTTCACTGTGAAGGTCTTTCCCAGTTTTTGTCAGATTTATCTTTACATGTTTTATATTTTTGATGCTGTTGTAAATAGTATTTTTAATATTTAATTTTCAATTGTATCTGGTTAGTACAACTTCAATTGATTTTTATGTTGATCCTCCATAAACTTTGTTAAACCTACTCATTAGTTGTCATACCTTTTTTTTTCCCTAGATTGCATTACATTTTTTATTCAGACAGTAACGTGTTTTGTTATTAATGGAATTTGATTTCTTTCTTTCCTGGGTCCCTTTTATTTCTTTTTATTGTTTTATTGCATTGGCTACTACTTCTGGTACCGTGTGAAAAGATGTGATGAGTATGGATATTTTCCAGTGTTGTTGATTGTAGAAGGAAAACATTTGGTCTCTAGCTATTAAGTATGATGTAGGTTTTTCCTAGATGCCTTTATCAGGTTGAAGAAATTCCCTTATAGTCCTACTTGCTGAGGATTATTGTTAGGAATGGGTGTTTATGTCAAATAATTTTTCTGCATCAATTGAAATGATCACAAGGTGTTTCTATTTTACTTTGTTAATATAACAATTTTAGTTTTTAAAAGCAATTAATGCTACAACTTGTGGGTATACTCCTTTTGTTGTTGTTATTCATCCTAGATGACCATGGGGATTATTTCTAGCCTTTGGCTATTATGGAAAATGCTGATATGAAAATTCATATGGTCTTTGTATAGATATATAATTTCATTTTCCTTGAACAGATTTTTAGAAGTAGAATTGTTGGGTCATATGATAAACTTATGTTTAACTTTTTAGTAACTGCCAAATGATTTTACAACATGGCTGTACCATTTTACATTCCTATTAGAAATTTATAGATGCTTTAGTAATTTCACATTCTTATCAACATTTAATATTATCTCTCTTTTTGATTTTAGCTATTTTAGAATATGTAATTGTGTTATGGTTTTAATTTGTATTTCTTGTATGACTGATAATGTTAAGCTCAATTTCATGTGCCCATGTCCTGAACATGTTTTGTTAGATACATAGAATCCTAATTTTCCTAATTCTTTTGTTGCTATTTAAATGGCATCTTTTAAAATTATATGTTTTACTACTTATATTTGATATGTAAAAATTATTTATTTTAGTACATTAATTAGATATTCATAAACCTTAATGAACTGTTACTCGAATTGTTCACAGATATGTTTGATGATTAAATACAATTAATTATATTACATACAAATAAAAATAGATTTATTCCCTTCTATCCAGTTTTTTTGTTGGAGGTTTTCTGATTACCAGTCTTTTTGCTGTTGATCACTCTGCTCAAATTTACTATTCCCTCCTTATTCAGTTTTGGAAGCTCATATATTTCTAGGAATTTATTTCTTCTTGTTTATCCAATTTGTTGGTATAATATTCTCTTATAAACTTTTGTATTTCTGTGGTATTGATTGGTATTTCTCCTCTGTGATTTCTTATTTATGAGCCCTCTCTTTTTTTCTTGATAAATCTTGGTAAATCAATTTTCCTTATCTTTTCAAAGAACCAGCTCCCTCCTGATTTCATTGATTTTTGTTTATTGTTCTTTTAGTCTTTATTTTATTTATTTCTGCTCTTTATTTTATTTTTATTTCCTTCCTTCGAGTGCCTTTAGCTTTATTCTTTCTAACTCTTTTATTATAAGGCTAGGTTGTTTGAGATTTTTTTGTTTGTTTCCTGAGGCAGGCTTGTATTGCTATAAACTTCCCTCTTAGAACAGCTTTTGCTACATCCCAAGGTTTTGAACCATTGTATTTTCATTTTCATTTGTCTCCATGTATTTTTGATTTCCTTTGTTTTCTTGGTTGATCCAATCATTATTTAGTAGCATGTTATTTGGCCTCCAAGTATTTCTGTTCTTATAGATTTTTTTCTTATGATTAATTTCTAGTATCAAACTCTTGTGTTTGGAAAGATGAATGACATGCTTTTAATCTTTTTGAATTTATTAAGACTTTTTTGTGATCTAACATGATCTATTCTGGAAAATATTCCATGTACAATTGAAAAGAATGCATATTCATCTGGGATGGAATGTTCTGAATATATCCATTATGTTGACCTAGTGTAATGAATCATTCAAAGCCATCATTTTCTTACTGATTTTCTGTCTGGATGATCTGTCCACTGATATAAGTGGGATGTAACAGTCCTCTACTATTATTATATTACTGTTAATTTTTTTCCTTTATATCTTTTAATAGTTACTTTATAAGTCCTCCCATGTTGAGTGCATAGATATTTACAATTGGTACATACTCTTTTTGGATTATTCTCTCTATGATTATGTAGTGTCCCTTTTTGTTTCATTACAGTCTTTGTTTTAAAGTCTATTTTGTTCAATTTATGTGTTGTTACTCCCCCAATATTAACCCAAGGAGGTCCACAGTAAGATACATAATAAGTAAAATGACAAAAAGATTTAAAAGCAGCAGGGAAAAACAGCTACATAGGGGAAAACCCATAAGGCCATTAGCTGTTTTTTTTTTAGCAGGAACTTTACAGGCCAAAAGAGAGAGGTGTGATATATTCTCAATGTGTAAAGGAAAAAAAAAAGCTGCAACTAAGAATACTCTATTTATCTAGGCTATCATTCAGAATAGGAGAGGCAAAGAGTTGCCCAAACAAAAAACAAAAACAAGAAACTAAAAAAAGAATTCCTCACAGAAAAGCTAAAGGAGTTCATCACCAGTAAACTAGCCTTACAAGAAACATTAAAGGAAATTCTTTGAGTGTAAGGAAAAGGTCATAATTATGAGTAAGAAAATTATGAAAGAAAAAATTTCACAGATAAATACAAACATATAATAAAAGCAGTAGGTAGATCATTTCTAATACCAGTATGGATGTTAAAGCACAGAGGCTGAAAAATCAATTATGTTTACAAAAATTATTAAAGGAATTCATAAAATAAAAAAATGTTAAGTATGATGCTGTGTACATAAAACACAGGGAGGAGAGTAGAAATGTAATATTTTTAGAATGGGTTCAAACTTAAGCGACCATCAATTTAATAATGTGACTACTATATGCATAAGATGTTATATATGAACTTAATGATAATCACAAATCAGAAACCTATAATAGATACAAGAAAATATAGATAAAGGAATCCAAGCATAGCACTAAAGAAGACTGACTATCACAAAACAACTGTACAACAAATCACAAAT